TCCATGAGCCCATAAATCTGCACAAAGTCTAAGAATAGCAAGAGGGGAGCAACAGCCTCATCATAGCAAAACCTCAGAGATTGTAGAATGTGCTGAGAAGAATAAGGAATGATGTCACATTTGGTGAAAATTGGGAAACTTCCTTTGCCACCTTCAAAATTCATGCACCTCAGGTGAGCAGTCGAAAATCGCGAGAATGACATCTAATAAAATGTATTGATTACTTTAATAAATTATTTGTCCAATTATTCATCGTGTATGTTAATCAGGTTAGAACAAAGATTAAAATTAAATTATTGATCATTGACTTTATTTGTCGTTAAAAATTTCGATTTCCATTATTTTCTCCAACTTTTAACACTGATTATTTCCTGGGTGAATTTTTCTCAAACAGATTTAAAAATCTACAGAAAAATCTTCAAATACAATACATGCATTATAAAATTGCATTAATATTTTTGTTAAGGATAAGTGCGTGCGGATTAAGCGAAAACTTTTGCAAATGATAAATATTTCAATATTACTACACTATCATAAATTTAAATTTTAGCAGCATCAAAATGAAAGATTATTAGACATATAATAATAGTTACGGAAGAAGAATTCATTTTACATCTTCATTCTCTCTCATGTAATAAATAAAGTTCCATTTTCTCAAGGGACTCAAAATATATAATTTTAATGCTGATTTATACTTCTGTTTGGGAAATCTTGGTTTCATTATTTCTCTTCTTAGATATTCAAAATATACAGTATATTTATTCTCACAAGCATTGTTTTTAAAAACTTCACGGCGATAAACCTTTATGCTACAGAAAAAAATCTTAACACTCTTGATCGGAGCTGATGATGATGTTTGTGGTTTTGACAAGTTCAAAATATGAAGTAAATAAGAATATATATATCTAAGTAAATACTTGTATAGGTTTAAAACTTAACTGAACACTCTAACGCGATAGTATTTTGATAAAGGAAGAGATTATTTTCAATTTCTTAACAAATATCTTAATACTCGAAAGAAGCTCTTATCATTAAAAAAATTATTCTGATACAAAAACATGATTACTTCGGAGATTTTTTAGAGAATCGAATTTTTTTAAATACAACAAAATCAACGACATTCAATTTTGACACAAATTTCACCTCAAACATTTTTCCTATATTTAATAAATTCACGAGTAATTATTTGAGTCAAGAAGTTAAATGGGAGAATGCTTTACAAAACATTTTTATATCTTTCATCCAATGATTTAATCTAAGGAACAGTAAGCTAGAAGACTTGTGTAATTAAAAATCTTTAGAGAAAAAAAAATTATTTCGAAAAAAATATGTTGTTAAGGGATACTAAAGTACCAAATGAAAATATTATTTTGTCTGATTCTTATAAAAATGAAAAGGACAACTTTGCATCTTTGTATGTGTTTCATAAATTCTTAATTTTTCATGTGAAAATTTTAAAGGATGTACGAGCACAATTAATTATAGAAATAAATAACACTCATTTATTCTGAACAGATTTGATACAAAAAAGTTATATTTTTTTACAATACTGAAATGAAATCACGTGTGTGTGTAAAAGCTTCTTATACTTCATTATACTTCTGCTAGAACCCGTACTGATAGCGCCATCTATTGGACAGATAATTATTTAGCAAAAAATCATTTAAATAGAAACTAATTACGTTTCCCGTGGTTTTTATAAATCATGGCTAGTACATTTTTTTAAAGTACGCCCACATTTCAAAGTTTCACAAAGACGTTCAAAAACACCAAAAATATAATCCTTGCTACGCATTTTATTCGATATTTCTCGCGGTGCTAATATTCCACTGCAACTATTCTCCCTTTACTTGCTTTAGCACAAATAAAAATTATATATTTGATGTGAAACTATTCTTCAAGGCATAAAAGTATTTTCATAAAAATTTTCCTGCTCTGGCATATAATTCCTTCCTTGTATGCTTGATTTGCATAAAAATGTGTAACATTTGCAACGATTCTCGCAATTCTACAAGTCCGACACATTCTATATATTTAGTTTTTTTTCTCTTATATACATTGAATTCTCGTTATATTTCACTTTATGAAAATATTTAACGAAAAATGTGGTATTGAATCGCTTACTCGTTTAAAAAGAGCTTAATTTATTTCGTCTAGCTCTACTACTCAGTAATCAAATTTAAATTAATTAGTGTGAAAATGCTTTTAATATCCTTATGAAAACCTTTTTATAACATTAATATGAGAAGTTACCCCGAAATATATAATTTGCCCATAACCGTGATCATAAAATCATGTCTAGACATTATGGCTTGCCTACCTTTATAAGAAAAAATGTCATAATGCCTCATAAATTAGTAGACAGTCGTCATTATGTTTTTTTTCCGTCAAGGTAACTCTTTTTAACTTTGTTTTCAAATTCGTTCATCGTATTTTTTCAATATGGTTATTAAATTATTCCTTAGTAATATAAAAGGTTTGTATAGAAATTAATGAATTGTATTGGTTTCATGTACAATTCATTTTTTACGCAACTTATTTCAATTACTTCCTTCTATTTTGACATAATTTTTATAGTAATATAATTAAGCAGAAAAAATATATATTAGCAGTAACATTACTATGAGCATATAAGTAAAAAACTTGATGTTTTATATTTACATCTAAAGAATAATGTCCGTGTTTTTTGTTTTTTTTAAATATTGAAATTCATTGCTTTATTTCATAACATTTCAAATAATGGTTAGAAAAGTTATAAAAACAGACATTCCTTAAATTATCACATTTTGAATTCTTTAAATGCCTGTGAAACAAGTAATATATATATATATATATATATATATATATATATATATATATATATATATATATATATATATATATATAAACAAATATATGCTCGTAAATGCACAAATCCACCACACAGCATTAGGTCCACAAAGTCAGCTTGTTAGTGGTCCAGCTGTGAAGAATTTGTGCATTCCACACACAGGATATATTTTAATACACACACACTTAGAACAATATTTACACGACTACACATTAAAATTATTTATTACCAATTAAACATTTATATATATATATGTCCAATCACACATTTATGACCAATCAATCAAGCAAGTTTTTTACATGTGGTCTGGTTTGCATCTAATGCCAAGTGGTCAAACTCTAGTGTTGGATCAAGAATAGTTTGGATTGACATGGCATTGGTTAGATGTTATAGCAAAATATGAAATGCTATAAAAATGGATAGTATTCTTGATGGGATACTCTTTGGTGAGTTTTTAATGATTTACTCTTATTCATTTGTGAATATATTGTGTTTTTAATGTGAACATTCGGTTTTTAGAAATTTTTAGTTTCAACTTTCGGATTTTTTAGTTTGAACTTTCGAATTTTTAGCTTGAACTTTCAGATTTTTTAGCTTGAACTTTCAGATTTTTAGGCTTGAACTTTCAGATTTTTTAGATTGAACTATCATATTTTTTAGATTGAACTTTCAGATTTTTTAGCTTGAACTTTCGGATTTTTTAGATTGAACTTTCGGATTTTTTGTTTGAACTTTTTGATTTTAGATATTTTTTAATTTGAACTTTCGGATCTCAAATATTTTTTGATTTGAACTTTCGGATCTCAAATATTTATTTTTTCTACCTATACAACTATTTTAAAGATGGGTGCATCATCTTGGGCGTTTGATGGTTCACTTATATTATGCACTAAATTGTTTTTAAATTTTAATATAGTAATATCTTTCAGAATGCGATGGTGAATAGTTTTATTTTTCAAGTATAATGATTTAATTTTAACTTTTTAATTTTTAATTAAAATTTTTTTTTTTTGAAATTTGGATATTTTTCAATTAACTTACCAAGTTGCAATAGGGGGAAGGTTGGCGCCATCAAACTAGTTTAACCCCACTTATCGGTCCTAAGTCCGAGATTGCACTTCGATATTTTATAAATTTTTATTTTATTTTATAATTTTTTAATTTTGTTTGAAAACGATGTGGAATATTATCTTTTATATTCGCCATTGATATTCTGAAGTGTTTTGGTATTATAGGATTCATATATTTCAATTTTTTTCAATTGTTTTTATATATTTAAATAATTGTGATTGTTTTTATATATTTAAATATATATATATATATATAATTCCCCTAGCATCTCCTTTTAATGTTTAATTAACTCTTTTAATAATATTCAAATAATCTTTTTAATTATTTGGTTCGAAGCTAACACCCTGATTTTAATCGTAATCGACTAATAATATTACATCATAAATCCCTTTCCCGCCCCTTGTAACCAATCAGATCTTTTATTACAAAAATTTCACGTGGTCTTCAACGTCAGGTATAAAAGCCGATGTCTCTGGAAACCTCTCTCGCTCTTTGCTCGTTTCTCTGTAGTCATGTAGCCGGCTGCAGCGCGTTCTGTGTGTGTCTTTGACTGTGTTGTATCGTCCATGTTTCTTCTTGTATGTGCAATGCCATTCCTACCGGATCTTTATGTGCTTCTGGATGTGAATAAAAAGGAATTTCGATTTCCATGAGTGCCTCTTCGATACTACTCTACTCGACCATGCTCCACGTAACACAATTACTCACCACCGGTCACGCCCTATCTTTGGCTCGCTACAGTAAGAACATCCACTCGCCAATTCTTGCAATTACTTTAACCAATCTCCAGAAATATAATAGGAATATATATAAATATATATAATTAAATCCGGTCTTACTTAAGTCAACCAAGGACACACAATTTTATTTTAGTTACTTTTCATTAAATGGTTACAATCAATATAAATATGTATATACATATGACAGAATCACACTATTAAGTGGCAAAATAGAAAGTGATTTTCCTTGCAATTTTCCTTTCTATATATGAAATCGGACTATTACTTTTTGTTTGTTACTATGTATCCATTAATTAAATTTAATTATTCTTATTATGTATTATAGTGAAAAAGAAATCTCGCGATCAAAAAAATTAAGCCATCCAAGGCGGAATTCGACTCCACGACTTTTGAATTAAAAGTCCAATGCGCAACCCATTACGCCACAGGGACAAAACGAACGCTTTTCATTTTTATATATGCTGTTTCAATATTATTTTTGTTATTATTTATCCATTTTTTATTTAATTAATGAATTAATATTTGAAAAACTGTATTAACGACAAGTGTCATTCACTACAAGCTTAAAAAAATTAATTTGAACTTGAATGGATGCATAGAAATTATTTTATTAACGGAAAAGTGAATGTGAAACGAATACACCGGAAAATGAACTAACAATAGGAATTGAAAAAAAGAATCTTTAAACGCAAGATTTTAATGTATAATGCCCCTTTTCCAAGCAGCTAAATTTATTAAAAGTTAAATATGTAACTTTTTCGTTAGTAGCTGAACAGTAGATTTAGCTTATGTTTATTCCTATTTTACAAGAAATTAAATTATTTATGTTTTCATACCTTACGTAAAATAAAAATTCATGTCTTTCTTTCTTTATTGTTTGCACATCAATTTCTTCTTGAACACAATAAATTTATAATATATTTTATTAATGTTTACCAAGTGACCACAAATGTGTATTTTAATAGATCTCAGAAATTTAAGTTCAAAAGATAATTTGTTCAGTTTGCGTTTAATTTGCAGTTCTTTAAAATAGAAATTTTCATTAGAAATACATTTCGAGAAAATAATAAATTTATTAACTCTTCCAACAGTTCCAACTCTTCCTAAAAGATTCATGTATAAGACAAATAGCATTTTTCTTCTTCTATCGCTGGAATACTAAATTAATAAGAATGAGTGATCTTTCAGAACTGATTCACTTATATGGTTATCTTTTGACTACGGCAACATTAGTCCTTACAAGCTGTGGTTTCCAGCTACGTTAACATTCTAGAAAGTAAGTGTTCTCTCAGATTTACATTAATACTGTAAAGAGTTTGTATTGAAAAAATAATACTAGATCAATAATAACTCAGCTTCATTTTCTCTCAAAAAATGATAATTAAGAAAAAAATGTTTAGTGAAATCTTAGATAACACACATACAACATCGCAAACCGATTTTGATGTACGTTTCATAAAATGCAACAAGTTTGTATGCCAGCTCAAAGATTTTTTTTCTCCCTCAAAAGTTTCTTGTAGCATGCTAATAATTTTTTTTATTCTTTATTTTGTTGATAAAATACGCTCATCGTTAGAGTCTATATTTTCCAAAATTTATAAACTTTTTTCAATTAAGCTGAGACCTTCTGTCAAATTCCCAACCGTCATTCGATCTTTTGATTGAACAGGGACTTATAACTCAAGTTCATGCTTTTTGCTCATCCATTGTTAGCTCCTGATTGTGGGGATTCAGCAGTTCTTGAACGTCATCAGTATCCACTTCTGAATTTATTTGCCTGGCAAGATCGACAACTTCTTTAATCAAATTCCCAATTTCTTCAGGCTCTGGCACTGATTCTGAATGAGTTTCAATAATTAAAAAGAAAAAAGACAAATCAATGAGATTTGAAATTCGCGTACGTCGATGTATTACTGTACATACTAAACAGCTCTATAATTCTAAATGTACATATATAGATGTATAACCAGAGAGTATTGATAAAAAATAAGTAGCCACAGTAGTCCAATAGCAAACTGTTATCCTTAGGAACAAATAATGTAGATATAAACATTGTTTTGCGGATAGCCAACCTTCACCTGTAATTTGCTTATAATACTGGGAAGAGGAAAGGAAAGAGGATTATGAAAATGTTATTAGTAGAAGAGAAAATTTACTAATGATGTGTAACTAATGTTTTTATATAAGTTTGTATATTTATATATAAACATTTATTCATACATACCTGCATACATTACATACACACATAGTTTTAAAACCACCTAAAATTCTTTGACATTGTACTCACATTTATTTTGAAACAGCAAAAAGAAAAAAAATGTTGATTTCATTTTCATCAAGATTTCGCTTTAAAGTGAGGAATTTATCCGTTAGACTATATATATAAACTGTCGTTATTGTTGAACTTAATTATTTATCAAATAGTTTCTCCATTGAGTTAGTTGTTCATTAAAAAGAATTCCAGGTTAAAAAAAAAAACTTTATAATTTTTATTTAAAGGTTTTCGCAGCTTTCTTTCATTAAATGTCCACTGTTTTAAGGATCAATGAAATATTTGAAAGAATTTATTTTTACACTAGTTTAAAAAGAACTTAGCACTCGTAAAAATTAATTTCAGAAATTATATAAGCAAAAAAAATGTAATAATGTTTAATTGTTAATTAAATAAAACTATAAATTTACATAATTATATATTATTATATAAGAAAAAAAGATAAAACTTTGGATGCGAAAGCTGAGATTTCAAGACAGAGATAAATACAATTCTTAAATAATATCTCTATCTTCAAAATACATTTCAGCACACAATCTTTATCCGAAACAAATTATCCCTAATAAATTCGGGAAATCAGCCTTTTAAAACTAATAAAGATAAGGTAATATCTGTCTCTGTTTCACTAATACTTTCCACATTAAAAACTCCAACACACGCATTGACGAAAAAAGTGGGGGGAAATTCGAATTTCGTGGGAAACCATGCAAAGGTCATAGCAAAATAGCTACTTATTAAATAATTTTTCCCCTAACGCAAGCCCACGATCCGCAATTACATTGTCATCACGATTCGCTTAAAACTCGATTTTACACGAGGCACAAAACCTGAATGTCTTGTTCAAGAAAAATTTTATAATCTAACAAAGTGATTTTTTATATCTTTCTTTATAGAACAAAACAAAGAAAAAAGTATTCGAAAGAAAACGCGGGGAAAAAAGATATATATAAAAGAACGTACGTCCGTTAACCATCAAGAGCATAATAGACAATTACTCGCATTCTTAATACACTTCGATTATTTCGAACAGTTTCTTTAATTCCGGTGCAGTCACAGTTAGATAATTACGGTTGGCAGAATATTCTTTTGTCAGTTGCAGTTATAGATGTGCAATTTGGAAGATTTTGAACAAAACGAATTGGGTCGGTTGAAAGACAGCGGAAAAGAAGGGGGGAGGGGAAATCAGTGAAAATTGAGTTCCAATTGAAGTTTTAAAAATTTCTTTTCTTTCATTTACGAATATTAGATTTGTATTATTATTATTATTATTATTATATATTTTAAGTCAGTGATTAATTAAAGTTTAAAAAAGGAAAAGTCTTGATGATTTCAATAGAAGAAAACTGGTTTACAAAAATGCGTCTTTTTCTCTCTTTTTCATTCTTATTTCTGATACCAAAAGCGATGAAGTAAAGTCTTCAATTGAATAAAAGCACAACCTTCTCAATCTTAAATTGAATGGGGAAAAAAGGTTAATTTGGAAAATAAAATTTTCAATACGAAGCTTTCGAAGTAAAAAGATAATTTTTCTATACGGGTTGTAAAAGCAATTGTACCATTCTATTTAATGTCACTAAATATCAAAAGTGCCAGATGATAATTCAGGCAATAAAGCGTAGAATTCTAAACATTTACAGATCGTACAACAATTTAAAAATATTTCACTAGACTAAAAAAAGCTAATAATGTGCATGCTTTTTTGGTTCTATAATATCTTTTTTAATCACAAATAAGAATGTCTGAAGCGGAATCTATAGTTGATAAAATAAGGCTTTTACATTTTTAAATATATGCAAAGTTTAACTTTTTAAAAAGTATAGACATATTTCTCATTCCATTTAAACGGGTATATACTCCTCTGTATTTGAGAAGTTGTTTACAACAGGGGTCGGCAACTTATGGCACGTGGTACAATTATCAGTGGCCCTCTGCATCACTCAATAAATTTGTCAATTTTTGAGTGGATGGGAGTTGATAAATTTGTAATGGACCTTATGTGACAAACATATGCAGAATTATGGACTCAAAATTCTTAAAGATATATTTACAGCTATTTTGTAAGTTATTGAATGTCATTGCTGGAGCGATTTAACTATTTGAAGAGAGAAAATTGCATGGATTCTGTGCTTTCCGCTTTTAGTTCTACATATTGAAGTAAAAATTCTTTCCTCGTATTAAAAATATTTCGAGTCCGCAAAAATAAATTGATTGACAATTGAATATACAAAATCGCTTCACATTGAAAGTCACAAATTTTACCCCTGATTTTACCATATGAAAGTAGAGCGGCGCAAGCCCTAAATTCACATTAAGATTTCTATTTATCTTTTTATTTAACAGTAATGAAGAGAAATACTTATACTTTATGTTGTATATTTTTTATTTTAATAGATATGTTTGAAAATACAAAATATATGTTCAATTTATTTTTTTTTTAAATTTTTGTTGAAGAAACCGTTATTTTATGTTAAAAAAATCTTAAACTGAGATGTAAATTAATTGTCCACTAAAACAATAAATCTATATTATTGACCTCTACTCTCCAACTGTGCATGCATTGTCGTGGAAATGGAATTGTTTCTGAAATGTCCTACTGCGCGGCCCACTATCAGTCGATTGACATGGCAAGCAGGATTACTGACCCCTAGTTTATAATATAGCTTTCAGCGCATCATAACATAAACGGTAGTTATAATATTTTTAGAATAAGTGGCACAAGCACAATCGTAGACTTTTTAATAATAATAATAATAAGCAAAACTGAATGGAACGCAAATGGTAACAAGCTTACAAAGTCATATAGAACAGATACCGTGTTAAAATATAAGAGGAATATTATTGGAATAAATTACAAAGAGAAAGAGAGAGAGAGAATTTATTCAAAATTAACATTGCCTGGCAATACCTCATGAAAATAAATTTCGGGATTTTGTTATGAATCTTATGTATAATACTTAGGTACTAGTGGAATATAATTATGTAATTATATGAAAGCATGTTTCTCTTGTGATATATATGTCATACAATATTGAATCTTATTGCATTTGTGCTTATAAAGAGTATTTACAAAATGTAATATTAATACCATACACTTATTCGTCATATTTTAATATGTCACATATTAACTATGTTAGAGTAAAAAAAGTGAATAAATAGTTTT